GGTCATGTTGTAAGAAGGGACCATTCCCTGGAGAAGGATGTCATGCTTGGTAGGGTGGAGGGTCGACGAAAGAGGGGGAGGCCTTCGACGAGATGGATTGATACGGTGGCTGCAATGATGGTCTCAAGTATAGCAGGGATTGTGGGGCTGGCACGGGATAGGGCAGTGTTTCGTTCTGCTGTGCATGGGGTCACTATGAGTTGGAAACGACTAGACAGCACTTAACAACAACAACAACAAGTTTTCTTCTTAGTAGTTTCTTTATAAAAAAGAATAATAACATCTAAAAGAATAAGAAACAAAATTTCTAAAATGTCCATATTAGAGGTTAAACACAAACGTACAGAAAATACCACAAGTTTACATAAGTTTCCAAAAGTTTCTGAGAACAAGTTATTTCAGTCATTAACCAAAAATAATAGGATCCATAAACAATTTGAAAGATTTTACCTTGGAAGCGTGTGATGCTTTTTGAGAAAGTTCTTCCAAGAATGAGTTCTGAATAGATCTCTTTAACATATGTCAGAGATTTTTTTCATCAAAAAATAATCTAACTATTAGAGAATGGCTTTTTATGCCTATTTGTGGTGTAGTAAATTACATAGTGTGGCTTTTCTAGCCATAAGTCTTTGTTAACTCTGTGGTGGAATTTGCCATGAGCAATTGAGTAGCTCCTGATTGCTAAAGTAGTCCACCTGTGGTATTTCTGTTGGACTAGCAGGTAGCAATCTTCTGGGAAGTTTGCCCTCTCTCAGGTGTATAGAATTCTGATGTTGGGATTGGTTAGTGGTCACTCTGCCAGGCTCAGAAGGAGCCCTTCTAGAAGCAGAAGTCTCTCTGACTGCTGGCTGAGAGAGACATGCTCCTGAGAGAAACGTGCTCCTGAGAGACATGAGAGACACATGCTGCTGAGAAAGAGATGTGAGAGACAAGCACTGCTGAGAAAGACCTTGAGAGACACACACTGCTGAGGAAGACTGAGAGCGAATGTCAGCTGAGAGACGGCAGGCTGCGAGACTCAGTGCATTTCCGAACTTCAGTTGTAGCCTATTTCTTCCCCAATAAACCTCATAATCTTTTAGTTCTGTGTGGCCACTGCAGCAAATTATCAAACCAAGCAGAGAGGTGGTGGGTGCTGTGGGAGGAGCAGTTGGTATCAGGGTTAGTGAAAGGGCTGGAGAGAGGCAGTATGTCTGGCCATGCAGGGATAGGCCTTGGGCTACTGATGGTAATTCTGTCTTCCTCTTGTGGAGTTAGAGGAGGTCAGAAGATGAGGCCTCCCTGCCCCATTGACACTATTAAATAAATTGATCCTATTATTTCAGTGCTTGATACATGAACAACAATTCTATATTTTAGGGTGATCATTCATATTTCACAGTAAGCTCAGACATTTTCTACTTATTCTCTGCACATCCACTCCTCACTTACTGACATGGATAGGTTTCAAAGACTAGATTATTATGCAAAAATCAGCATTATGTGAAAATGGAGGATGATCGCATCAGATCACAAAATAGAGGCTGATAGCGTTATTACATAAATGATGCCAAACCATGGAGAATCATGGCCCCGTAAAGTTGACACACAACCTTAACCACAGCCTGTTTTACTCTTGCCTTGCACCCTGGCATTCATTACCGACAGATGTATTTCGCTGATGGGCAGAAGAGTCAGATAGCAGATTTTTTTACTATTGTTGTAAATGTGACATGTTGGATAATGGATAACGAGATAGGTGATAAGTGAGGAGTAAGTGTATAACAATATCTTCCTGTCAGGAAAAGAAACTTTGGATAGGAAAATGTAGCTTGAAAGATCTAATTATATGTCTTTCTGATTTATATAACTTTCTGACAAAAAAAAAGAAAAAAATGCTATTTTTGGGCCTACAACAAATGTACATGTATCACTGAGCTTGACCAGCCTTGACATGAAAAAATGTATTTTCTTCAAATTCTCAGAGAGGGCTGTGGTTGGGTTGTGCAAACTCACATTTTAAAATGTTTTCTTTGTTAGTGAATTAAACATAGATAGAAACCTTTGGTATTTTTTTTTATTACTCATTTGTTCATTCAACAAATATTTATTGAGCACCTACTATAGTCCATTAAAGGAGCTAAATGCCTAAATCAAAGGTACATAACACATGCTCCTTGCTCTCAAAGAAAACACAACCCAGTTTCTTTTCTTTGCAGAAAAGATGGTATCATTTACTCAAGTAACTCTTTTTGTAGTCTTCCTTAATACTTTAAAGTCCAAAACAGAAACCAATATTAAAATCAGAATAAAGATAATATACTCTCCCCTGCATGCAATCTCCTGGAAATTAATTGCAGTCATCTTAATAGTCATCTTAATATAGAAGCTAAAATAAAAGATTATATTTAATTTATTTGAACAGCCACCTAAAATATATATATTTACAAATAAGATAAAAAAAAAAAAAAAACCCAATGTCTCCAGACTATTTTATCCTGATATGCATAGCACAAGGCACTAAATGGTAGGCAAGTTAACTATTATTATTAGTCACATATATTATTTATCCAAATCCCTTGGTAACTTTGGAATAATCCTTGAAAAGTGATTTTCTGTGGTGCATCATTTTAACATTAATTAAATATTAGAAATCCTTTTACAATCTTGATTCCTTAGCTCCTTTCCACTTCTAAAGCCTAATAATGAACAGCTGTTGTTGTTGTTGTTATACGGAAGTAGATTACCCAGTCTTCCTTCCTAGGAGTGTCTGGTGGGTTTGAACCACCAGCCTTCTGGTTAGCAGTCAAGTGCCTTAGGCACTACACCACCAGAGATCCTAATAATAAACAGCAGTCATCAAAAAAAGAAAGCAAGCCTCAAGAAATGGATTCCACACAGACAACAAATCTAGGTTTTAATCATTACTGTCCATTGCCTCTGAAATATATTTAAGAGTCAATTAGAATATTTTTAATATTAGTCAAAAGGATAACCCCAATTGAAACACTTCACATCATTGTAAAATCAATAGCTGATTCAAAATGCCATGTGGAGAATGAATAGCCTTTAATTGTGAAAAATGCCTTAAAAAGCATGAACATTTGCATTCTTTTGAAAAGTACTTAGTTACCCTATTTGATATAACACGATGCAAAGGAAAAACAAGGAGCTCTGGTAGCATAGTGGCTAAAGCACTTGACTGCTAACCAGAAGGCTGGCGGTTCAAACCCACCAGCCACTCCTCGGAAGGAAGGTTGGGCAATCCTACTTCCGTAATGATACTGCCTCGGAAACCCAAGGAGGGGTCGCTATGAGTCGGGGCAAACAACAACAACATAGCTGTAGACAGACTTAAAGTAAAAAAGCAATTATATGACATACTTTCTAAGATTTCTTCCAGCTCTAAATTCTGTGACTGAACAAAAATACCAGATACGTGTTGCCCTGTTGCTGTTGTTATTGTTCATATATATTCCACTGAAGTTATTATTTTTTTGAGTTGCCTAAAATTTGCCAACTTTCTTCTCCAGCCACTTGTACCTCAAGGTTTATATTTCTTAAGTTCTTATTTTCTATACTGAATGGGCCTACCGCCACAATGAAGAGAGTCCCCTCACAGTCTTAAATAATCACATATCTTTGTTTTTGTTGGCTCTGGGTAATGTAGGTTTAAATGTGTGACTCTTCTAGGTAGTAAAGAAAACTGTTCAAGGCTTAACAATTTTATGAATAAAATGAACAAGAACATAATAACATCATTGTCATGGTTCCAATAGTTTATCTATAACCACACTCATAATTGTACAATTATGTGAAATTTGTACAATTGTACAAAACATACAGATGTTGACAGGTAAGACCTATAACCACAGTTTCATGGCCATTTTTCTGTCTTCTCTGTTATGAAGCTCTATGCCCATTCATCCCGCTATCACCATACCCACCTATGTGGCTGCTGAGGGGTCCACGGCTTCTCCGGTCTCTTCTTCCTTTGTTTCGCCCCCTTCACTTACTTTCTCATTCACCATCTCAGTTTCAACCTTTTCTCCGGTCTCACCTGGAAAAGTAACCAAAGGAGATATTAAGAGACACTCATTTAGCATTAACAATAAAGTACCCACAGTTTGTTCCTTATAGGGGCAGCTCCTGCTCTTTAGGTCTCAACACCCTGGTGGTGCCAGGAAAGGTGATGAATGGGATAGCTCTGATAATTTCCTTGGTTCTCTCAGATCCTCTGAACGTACAATGTTGAGTACTTAACCTCTCTGAGTTATGCATGCTCTTACATAAAACCAGGACGCAAAATGTCCCAAGAAATGACAGTAGAACATAATACAAAGAGAAAGTTGCATTCATATCTAAAGCAAAAGGTGATCCAGGAGTGTCCAATGACCTGTCTTGCTTGGCTATTATATTGTTTAAAGAAAACAATAGTTAAACATTTAAACACTGCCAATATTTAAAAATCTGGACATTGCACATACAAATCTGCTTCCCTGAAAAGTTGGTTTTGGCAACATTGGCTCCCATTCTCATATAGGAACAATCATATGGGATTAATCAGTGGCTGCCTCTTCTGTCCCGGCTGTGTTCTCCTGTCTATCATGGCCTCCCAGAGCTCCCTACAGTATTATATGTGCCCCTCGCTTCACTCATTTTCATGATCCTAATCCCTAACCAGCCACTCCTCAGAAGGAAGATGGGCCAATCTACTTCCATAGTGATACTGCCTTGGAAACCCAAGAGGGTCGCTATGAGTTGGGTCCAACTCTATGGCACATAACAGCAACAACAGCAATCCCAAAAGAAAGTGCCTGGGTAGTACAAACGGAAGCACTCGACTATTAGTCAAAAGGTTGGTGGGTCAGATCCACCCTGAGTCACCTCAGAAGATGGGCCTGGAGATCTGCTTCCAAAAGGTCAGCCTTGAAAATCCTCGAAGCAGTTCTAGTCTGCACACATGCTGTCACCATGAGTCAGAGTCAAGTTGATGGCAACTGTTAGTCCCTAATGACTTTTGAGTTTGCCCCCTGCAATGCAGTGAATTGTTTGGTATGCCCCTTTGTAACTCCCACCAAATGACTGAGTAGGACTGTGTAAATGTGAGGTGCTTGTGGTCCACTGAGGCGGGGGATTGGATAGCTTGGTAATAATGTAAATAAGGTGTATTTAGCCCTTTGTGGGGATACTAAAAAACCAAACCAAACTCACTGCCGTCAAGTCGATTTGACTCACTGCAATCCCTCCTTGGGTTCCCCAGGCGGTATCTCTGCGGAAGTAGATTGTTCAATCTTCCTTCTGAGGAGTGGCTGGTGAGTTTGAACCACCAGCCTTCTGGTTAGCAGTCAAATGCCTTAGGCACTATGCCATCATGCAAATGAGATGTATGGAACCCTAACATGGGTATTAATTAGTTGTCCCATCCCACTAGGCTTAAAATGAGCCATTCTCAGAGGCAGGAAGGGGGAAATCTTACCACCATCACAAAAGAAGAGCCAGAAATGGAGTGCATTCTTTGGACCTAAGATCCCTACACTGAATTTCCTCGACCCAGGACACAGAGAGAGAGCTGCAACACTCTGCTGAGATGGCGACAGACAGCGAGACAGACAGCGAGACACCGCAGCAGAGAAACATGGCAGCAGAACCAGGAGACCCAGCAGGAGCAAGGAAGCTGACTGCCTTCAGGGAGGAAGCTGACTGGTGGGGTACAGTGCCTCTGAGCACTTACTAGCAGAGCTAAAAGAGCTTTGTTACACTTGCCTGAGCAGGGCAGAGGCCATGGAGTCGCAGGGCCAAGAGACTAGGGGCCAGAGAGAGGCGTGCTGCAGGCACTGTTGAGAAGAGGCTGTCCTGATCGAAGAACTGTATCCTGAGTCATTTCTGTTGTAACCTGTTTCTTCCTTGATAAACCCCATAATTGTGAGTGGAAAGAGAGAGTGCCATGGAAGGGACGGTTAGCATCAGAATTGGTGAAAATGTTGGAGAGAGGAGGTAGACATCAGCCTCAGGCTGTTGAACTTGACCCCCCTTCCCACTTGTGAAGTTAGAGGCTGTCAGACACCTGCCTCACACCATTTTTATATGAAAAATGGTCTAAAATATTAAAAAAAGAAAGAAAGAAAAAAAAAAATGTCATCGAGTTGATTCCGACTCACAGCGACCTCCTTTGGGTTTCTGAGGCAGTAAATTTTTATGGAAGTAGATTGCCCAGTCTTCCTTCTACAGAGTGGCTGGTGGGTTTGAACCGCCAACTTTCTGGTTAGCAGTCAAATGCCTTAGGCACTTCGCTACCAGAGCTCCTTGGTCTAAAACACATATACGTTTAATTGCTCCTCCCTTATTGTTTCCAAAGCATTTTTACACATCTTTCTTTGAAAACTTACCTCAATAGATTAAAGTAAATTTATATTCTGCCTTCACTCAATAGACAGTGAGCCCCTTGAAAGCAGGGGCTATCTCTTATTCATTCTGCACTCCTAGCACCTAGCATCTGATTAGGCACTCAAATAACACTAAGTTAATGAAAACCAGAATTGAGAAACTTAACTATACTGTACCGTGAGCTAAACTTTACCAAAATATAAGTCATACCCCAGAAGAAAAGATTATTATTTTTTTTTTATTGCAATGCCAATACAGAACAGTAAAAATTCCATTGTTTTATGCTGGTAAAATACATTTAAAAATTTAAAATACCATATTCCAAGACACAATACATTTTTTCTATTCCTCTAATAAAAAGACTAGACAAGGGTGGGAAGCAGACTGACAGTCCTTTTCTAAGGATAAGACCAGCAAATGAAAATTATACTCTAAAGATCCAGTATTTTGGTTTATTATTATTATTATTGAAAGATCAACTCCTTTGCTAGCCATTTATTGGCAAGAGTTGGTATGCTCATGTGGCTTGATTAAGAAGGAACTGGGAAAAATGCAACAATTTTTAATATGTTGTCTTCAATATTTGATTCTATTTAACAGCCAAGCTCTATGTTAAAAATCTGGATATGGACTATGTTTTAGAAAATTTTTGCTGAAGAACTGAACTAAGCATTGACAGGATGCCCATTTCCCAGGAATAGAAGTCTTTTTGATTTGGGTCAAACGAACTTCAGCTACCTGAGATGGGGAATCTAGTGATTGTGGGCCAGCCAGCCCCACCCCCAGAGCTGCTCCTCTGGAGTTCATCTAAACATCCTGAACCTTTAACAACTTTTACCTTCAATTTGTTGGTCCTCTTCATTAGTGAGAATCTCCCTGACCATTTCCACATTTGCCTCTGCCTTGACAATTCCTGCTGGATGCTCCATGCTTCCAACTGTTCCCTCCGGTTGGATCTGTTCCACGCTTCCAGGAACTTCAGGAGCTTTGTGGAGGGCATCATTCTCCACAGCTGTTTCCACAAGCTGACTTCTGTCCAAAATTTCTGACGTTTCCTCCTCTTTGGGAATTGTTACTAGAAGTTGAGACTGCTCGTGTTTTCCCTCTGTTTCTTGAAGTTGCTGCTCTTCAGCTATTTCCCCAAGCTGACTTCCATCCAACATTTCTGCAGATTCATTCTCTTTGGAAACAATGTTCAAAATTTCGGGCTGGCGATTCTTCTGTGCTATTTCTTGAGGCTGCAGATCTCCAGCTGTTTCCCGAGGTCGGATGTCCTCAGATGTTCCTAGAGGTTTCATCTCTCTGGCAGTGTGTGGATTCTTGGCACCTTCCACAGTTCCACGAGAGGCCTTCTCTCCCACTGTCCTCAAAGGCTGACCCTCAGTTTCTGTTTCTAAAGGTTCAGTCTTAGCATTTCCTGTCAAAGACTGAGCCAAAGCCGCTGCTTCTGCATCTTCCTTCTTTTCTTCTGCTCCTGGGGTATCATCATTGCCACATAGCTGAGGTGGCCTGTCCTGAGGTTCCTCTAGAGGCTGAGTCTCCTCTGTGGATCCTGGGTGATACGCTAATTCCTTTCCTGTGGAGCCTGGTTGATCAGCTCCATCCGTTCTTGAGGAGGCCACAGGCTGTTCATGGAAGGATTTAACACCATTAGCTGTAGATGTTGCTGAGATGTTGAGATTTTCCAGTGGAGGAAGGGTTTCCCCTTGAACGCTGCCATGAAAAGTGGCTTCTTTTCCCATTTTACATGGTTTTGGTTGGGTAAAGCAGGATTCAGTCTTTTCTGTGGCTGGAAAACATTCATTTGAAGTTATTTTTTGATGATTTAAAAATGAAAAGAAAAGAGAAAACACAAATTAATTAGTTACTATCTTGAGAAAGTTAATTCATAGCAATTAATAGTTCAGGACAGTCCCAGATGCATTGTGTACAGAAGGGTCATACCATGACCCCAGCGCTCTTCAAGTCAAATCCTTTCACTATCTTCAACTCAAACACCTCCTCTTAAACTTTGAGGTCCTCTAAAACCACCTCTTATTGGCTCTTTGTGCACTTTTTCATGGGTCCTGTCTCCTATTCCAATTTAGCACATTTCACTTTGTTTTCTCATGTTCTCCTCCCTATGTCACTCTTTCTCCTCTCTAGACTTAATAGAAGGTTTCACAGTGTTTGGTCCTTGGGCTGTTGCACGTCTTATTTTCTTTCTGAAGCAGAATGGACATCAGTGAAAGGAAAAGGCCCCAAGACAGAAAAGCCCTTGTAGGGAAAGGCTAATATGTCTGGAAAGGGTCAAGGACAGCTCAGTCTATGTTCACTTTGGGGACGCAGTGGGAAGAGAATACAAGAGAGAGTTAGGGAACATCCATTTGAATTCTGGTCCTTCCTTTAACTGTGTGTTGCTCTCTCTCCCACCCATCTCAGAGTAGTGTGAAGCATCGTATCACTTTAAACAGTGAAGATAAAGGTGCTTTGGACAACCTAAAAGAAGCAACTTGCCAGTTCATCTATACTCTTTGACCTAGTAATCCTACTGCTGGGAACTTATCCTAAAACCATAATCCTCAGGAAAATGCTCTGGGGAAAAGATAGCATCCCAGTATTCTTTGTAATAGGAAAAACTGGAAGCAACTTAAGAGGCTAATGATTTGGGGAAGAGATAAGTATTCCATTGGGTAGAATAGTATCATGCTAAGAAAAAGATGATTATGAAAACCATATGCGATAATGAAAAATATTTATGATACAATAAGTTTAAAAATAAGCACCCACAAGTTAATCAAATGAAATAAAGCATATAAAGTGTTTATTAGCACAAGGTCCACTGGGCAATTAAGTGCTCAATGAGTTAGCTAGCAATTTTATATACAGTTCTTTATGGCAATGTTGCAAGGAAGTGGGGGTGAGGAACAGTGAAAAAATGAATGACAAAGGAGGAAAAGACTGAAAGAAAATAAACAAAATGTTAAAGTGAAACAGTGGGCAATATTTTCCCTCTTCTATTTCTTTTCCCCAGAGAACATTTTTCCTTTTCCTTTTCATTATGTACACATTTAGTTTAAAGAGTTACTGCTGATCTGTCGTTGTTACATGCCATCAAGTCGGACCCAATTCATTGCCCCATTTTCCTTCCGAGGAGTGGCTGGTGGTCCCACCAGCCTTCTGGTTAGCAGTCGAGTGCCTTAGCCACTATGCTACCAGAGCTCCCAAGTGTAGCAGGTCTCCTCTGCCTCTCCCCTCTCTGGGGGCAAACACTTTAATGCGTTTAGCTGTTCGGGGAGGATATGTTTTTTT